CAGCATCTGCATGTTTCGAGGATGAAGCAGACAAAATGAGCCATATTTGTAGACTGCACAGTACAATAAGGAAGAATGCACATATAATGATGCTGCTAATAATGCACAGATAATGATGATGTCTCATTGCAATATTGTCTATTATTTTTAGGTACTTACAGAAGTTTTAGCTGGTCAATAATAAATTTACTTTTCTTTTCTTCTTCATGGTTAATTAATTTTAAAATATCAATAACCTGGTCAAGTGCAGTGGGCTCAATTTGTTTCTGTACCTCTTGCTCTAGAAATAATAATAAAGATTATAATATATTTATTGAATTAATATGCATAGTATTTTTGAAAGCCTAGAATGTACAAATTTGCATTTATTTACATACATATCAAATTTTAAGTCAGCATATACTTCAATATGGCCTAATTTTACAGGAGTAACATTTACACTTATCAAACACTATATAATTTTTTAGAATTTTGCTGTTTACTTGGAAACTCTTTTTCATTTAATAATTTAAAATATGACAACATATCAGAAATTTCATTTTTGGCTTGCTTTTCTTCATAATCCTTTTGATCTAATAAACTCTGCCTTATAGCTAAATCAAAATTATTTTGTTCAACAGCCACCAAACGATGAGATGGTTGACTATTCAAACTCAAATATTTTGGTAAATTGGGAAAAACACTTGGAATAGCACCATCTTTAAGTCTGGGAACTTTCCTAGGATATCGTTTTAATATTCCATTTATACATACTTTATTATGCACACGAATAATATCACATTCATGAAAATGCTTGAAGCACACAAATAGATTTTTCAATCCTGAAAAAAGTCTATGGGTATTTTCCACAGCCACTTCTTTTTCTTTTCATCATCTTTTGGAAGTGTAAACAATATTTTATATTCTTTTTCTGTATCATAATTTGAACGACACCCAGCAACACTACACTTGTTTGGCATGACGAAGTCTTTGAAAAGAAGAAAATTAAATAACTAAATAAAAGGACTTTAAAAAATAAAACTTAGTTAAATTCTAAGCTTAATTTTATGGAATTTTGAGGTAGCTACACTTTATTTCTTTTTTTCATCCCCAAGAAAGACAAGTCCTGAAAATAAGAACATTTATCAATCAAAAAGTATATTTTAACGGTCAAAAGCCAGATTTAATTTTTTAAATATTTTTTTTCAGTTAACTAACTTTACTTTAGTAAGAACATAGCTTTGCATCATTTCTTTGATATTTACATTTCTCTGAAAAAGAGCCTAAAAAACAAGACAAGTTACTTAGTTAATTAACAGTTTATTTTTTTCGAGAAAATAACTGCTTCCTTCCTTTTTTCTATGTTCATATCGCTCTTAAAAAGGCCCTTTTGAAAAATAAAACTGTTAGTTCATGAAAATTGATAAAGAACGATTATTCCATACACAGAAACACATACATACTGTTTGTTGACAATACTTAATGAGCAAGTCTTAGTTAATATGTACCTTTTTCTGCATGCAGTTATGCTTTGTACTTTCCGAATTCCAATAGCTTAAATAACTTTAAATGTTAAAAATCAAAAATAAAATGAAATAAAGAAAGGTCTACATGTGGTTCAGCATGAATACATTTACTGTTAATTGAATGGAATAATATTCCACTCATCTTAACTGTTTTATTTATTCCAATTAACATGAATTAAAAATTTATATAAAATGTATGCAGTATATAAACATAAAAAGCAAATTAAAAATAATAAATTACTTGTTAAAATGATATTTCAAGACAACGTAAATTTTCTTATTCCAACTGAACACAAATACAAGTTCAAATCCCAAACAGTACAATCATGTATAAAATAAGGCTATTAAACCACACTAAACTTACATGTTATGTTTAAGTTTGTTTAAAATGTTAATACTGAAACAGATTAAACAAATTCTAACAAAAAATATGTTTAATAGAAATCACATAAACAGCAACAGAATACACATAAGATGGAAGATTTTCAGCCTTTCTTGATCACGTGACTTTTTAGTGCCATGGCCTGTGTTTTTCACGTAGGCCTCGTGAAATGCAGCAAAAAATGCATGTAATTTAATATTTTATACACAGAAGTCATGTGTTGGTAAATTGTGCATTTTTTGCTTTAAAAGCGATTGAATTGTGTTGTTTTTATATTCCGATTAAGTTTTTAAGCTATTAGTTAACCTGCATGCAATAGTTGTAGAATTATCAATAATTTCAAAGTTTAAGTAGCACTAGGCTGAGGCTGCTATTCGTTTATATATTAAACCTTTAGAATGGTGAATTAAGTTAGTCGGTCCACTAAATTCAGCATCTTTTTCCCCAGTAAGACCAAAAGTTAACTTTCGATTTTGTCTTCCTGTCTGTGTGCCAAAGTACTTGCTTTTGCATAGAAGCACTAAGTTTAATTGCAAAAATTATTTTTTTAAATGTATGTAGTCTTTTAGGTTTTTCTGTATTTTGCAATTTTTAATGAATATGTTTTGAGTTTTACGTATTTTTGCTTGCCGCAAAGTGAGAACTGTATTGATTGAATGTATCTCTAACGAAATTCAAGGAAATAATTTAAATGAAGTGCAGCAAAAAATGTATATAATTTAATATGCTAAACAAGGAAGTCATGTGGTGTCCGCATCAAATTTTTATTTAAAGAAACATCAATGATCCTGTAGATTGCAGCAATATGTATATTTACCGTAATTTCCGGAAGAAAGGCCGCATCAGCGTAAACGCCGCACTCGAGAAAAATGGCGGGAAAAAAATTAAAATTACACAGAAACGCCGCAATAGATTAAATTGCGCATGACATCGTCGTGGGCCGTATAGATGCAAAAACTCAACCTAAGTCCTGATATATGACATACCAGTTAAGAAAAATGCATGAAATGAAACCATAACTCAAAAATAAATTAAAGGTAAGAAATGTGGAAAATATATTTACCTTCACGTATATACTTATATTTACCCACTAAAGAAGTCCATATTTGTAATACTCAGACTATATTATAAAAAATGTTGCAACAACGAAATATTAAATTTGGATGACAAAAGGAAATTTTAAATATTACTTACGAATTACAGCAAACTATACATCATATGAAGCCATCAAAATCTGATTCTTCACTATCTGAATTAAAAAGATTTAGTAAATCCTGATCTAAGTCTTCCAGATCGTCACATTCATCCTCTTGGTTTACAGTCTCTTTATCTAAGGATATAATTTCAGCTTCTTTGAACCCTGCTATTATTGACGATGTTTCTACCGATTTCCACCCCACTTTGCAATTTCTTCATAAGATGCTCTACGCATTTTACCGCTTTTGGTTTACGTATGCAATCCTTCACTCATCCAACACTCCCACCGCTTTCGGACTTCAGCTTTGAAGGATTTATTACCTGAAAAATCTAAGGGTTGTAAGATTTTTGTCAAACCACCAGAAATTATTGCTTCGGTCGTAGACAATTTTTGACATCTGGTTTTCACTGACTCAAAGAAATGAGCACGCATGGAATCCATTATCAATAACCCCTTTGGTTGGAAAAAAGATCCCATACGACACTGCCAAACTTTTTGTAGCCACTCATGCATGATTGTTTCGCACATCTAGCCGTTCTCGTTTGCACAAATAATTACGTCATTAGGAAAATCTCCCTTCGGAATAGTCTTTCGTTTAAAAATGATCATCGGCTTTAGCTTGTCACCGTTTGCGGCACAAGCTAACACACATGTAAATGACGTTCTTTCATGCCCCGTCATAAACACAGATACAGTTTTTGCACCAGTTTCATCAACAGTTCTGTTTGCAGGAGAGTCGAAAGCTAACGGCGTTTCATCCATATTTATTATCTGTGACCGAAGAATTTTTTTTTTTTTTTGTCAATAATAGCTGTCACATATTTTAGAAAAGATGACTTTTTATCCTGCCAGTCCATTGGTAATTGTTGCCCGACTGTTGTTCTAGTATGCACAGAAATATTTTTTCTTTTCATAAATCTGCTACACCTCCTTTGAAATCATTTATGTTCATTCGTTTTGCTATAAATTTTGCTTGTAAGCGAATTTTTACAGTCGAAATTGCCATTCCCTTTCCTCGTTGCTCCTTTATCCAGTTTGCAAGGTCGTCCTCTAGATTTGGCCACCTTACAGTACCACTTCTTTTGGCTCGTTTCTGTTGTGGCATATTTTTTTAAGAAGTTCTTTTTCAGTTCTCCAACGTCGAATACATCTGTCGTCCACTTCAAACTCTCGAGCTGCTGCTCGATTTCCAATTTGTTCAGCACGTGAAATTACATTAAGCTTAAAACCAGCAGTGCAGCTTCTGTGCCGTTTAGGGACATTTTCAAAAATTTTTCGCACCCTTCTTACTTAAAAACTATCCAACAAGTACTTGTACCCAAACTGATGGTATCTGTATCTGGCAGAATGCCAAGAAAAATCCATTCATGCTGAAGGGGAAATACATCAGAGTTCGTTATTGCGAACAGGTGGCCTTTGAAAAATATTGCAAAAAAGGCAGAGGTGGGGAGAGGATGGGTCCTGGAAGATTCATCGAATGGCAGAGGAGAGAGACTATTCGAACTGATGAGAATGTTGATTTGAAAGGGGGAAGAATGTTATTGTTCTGAGATCTCGTTTAGGGTGAATAAGGCATGTAGGTCCGTTCAAGGGAAAAAATGTAAACAAAATAACGTTTGCAAAAAGCAACTGAGTGGTCTTTTGTGTGGGAACAGCACCAGTCTATGCACAATGACAAGGCCATCCAAACTATGTACAATGACCATCATAGGAAATATTTTATTTTTAGTGCACCTAAACGCCGCACCCGCTGAAAATTTTGAAGTTTTAAACACGTAATCGCCGCGGCGTTTCTTCCGGAAATTACGGTACTTCAATTTAAAATTCAATGAATAAATATGTCTCTTTTTTGGAAATAAGCTGCAGACTATTCCAGTAAAATTTTATGCAGATAAGAATAATGCATAGTTCTTTGTTTGAAAGAAAAAGGATGTTGAAAATAAATCAATTTTAATCAATTCAGAATCTTTAACTATATAACATAATGCAAATACACTTCACATAACTTTAAATAAATATCATTTCAGTAGCAAATACATTTACAGATTGATTCATTATAATTAATATGAAATGTAATTAAAGTCAATTATATGACTAATTATTAATTCACTTGAATAGATTAATTGTTCTAAATTCTTCAGCAGCCATTTTAGCCTGGTGGCCAATCTAGTTGTCGTCCACCAAGAATATGGATGTGAAGGTGATAAACTGACTGTGCAGCATCTCTGCCATTGTTTATTACTGGAAGAAGAAAAAAAAAAAAAAAAAAAAAAAAAAAAAAGGATATCATTGAAAATAAGCTTCATCTAAAATATGAACCAATTTTAGTAAGTAAATAAAGCTTAAAATACTACCCTGCTTCTTTATTTTATTAAAATGAATACCAAGATAGTTGTGTAATATAATATACTTAATATTTTAAAATGTTCATTACATTCAAAATAACAATGCATGTATCATATTAGATGATATGCTGACTGGCTTTCATTTGAATGATCCTTATATGCAGAAGTCCAACTTATTTTTCTGTTCTTCTGAATGTTTAATTGTTGAATATTTTTCTACATTTCTTCAAATCCACTGTCAAAATATTAGCAAAAATGTTTTCATTTAATTAGTCTGCTATTATAGTGCTATTCGTTGCTGGGTTAATAACAATTCCTAATAAGTTACACTCTAATAACAAGGTATGTTAATTGCAAGTAATTTTATTTTCCTGAATACACATCTACTATATACAGAGAGAGAGGATAGGTAGATTAGCTACATATAGCTTCTTAGCTTTCTTTTTATTGTTTGTTTCAACAGATTAATTACAAGTATTTTAATAAATTATGCAATGGAAATACATTAAGAAACAAACCAACCATGAAAAGATTACAATAGTGTATTAAACACATAGTGCATTTGGGTAGAAAAAAATCTTACACTAACTCATAATAAATTACATGTAGTTTGTTAATAGTAGGTAAACTATTTACCTCATTTTGAATGGTATAGTACTGTTATGACAACATATGTCATCTATCTCTTTGTTTTAATGAATATTTTAAAATACTCATAAATCTTAAATGAATCCCCTGTAAATAAGCTTACCTCAATGATGCCAATGATTTCTGTGGAGATAAATTGTCTTCAAAGTTTTTCCTTGTGATAGTTTTATTCTTTTCATTTGGTGGTTTGAACATATGTATGTGATATAACTCTTAAAATCTCTTTTTACATTTTTCATTATTTTATAACCACAAAGTAAAATTATATCAAATAAGGAAAAATGTAAATTCAATGACAATTTTTTAATTTGAATTTGTCATTGTGGATAAATTACTATTTAGAGATAAACCATTAGCATATCTACACTCTATTGCTCACTTTTAATCGCTCAGTGACAGTGGCAACTTGTAATAAGCACTGTGGAACTGCAGCACCCCCAATTTCCACTTATTATTATTTTTAATATTTAATATAGTGTGCCCTTTAGTCTTTAATTCTTTCTTTATATTTTAACAATACATAATCCTTAAGCTTTATGTCAGTAGCCATCCCCCACTTTGTCAAAAAGGCACGAGTCTTTGGAACTGCGCACTTCACAGTCCCAGCGATATGATGTTTGGCTGTTTTGCGCATGCGCACAGAGAAAGCAGCACGCGATCCGGGCAGAGAGAAGAGCACTGTCGCTCTTGCAGTGCCGAAATTCTGGCATGTTGTTTGAAAAGTAATTTCTTTTTACTCCGCGCGTGTGCTATTTCTCCATAAGGTGGAACTTCATCATACGGACCATAAACAGAGTTCATGAAAATTTGCAACCTTTTAAAAAATTGCCTTAGTGAAATTCAATCAACATCAAATGCAGAACAACAACAAATGAAACAACTGTTCCTATTGCAAAAGCAATAGGAATTTTAAAATATCTAAATGATGATAATTTCAAGTTTTGGTTAGAGCTTTTTTATCAGATGCCTCATGTTGAAATAATATACAATCAAATGCAATTCACAGAAATTAGTGTGTTTAAAGTTAACGAATATATAACAAATTCCAAAACTGCTATCTTAGAATTAAGAAACTCAAAGTACTCTGAGAATTTTCCAAAGACACCGATGGCTGAAGAATAGAAGAAGGAAATATGTGACTTTATACTATGTATTGATATAATGCAGAGATATTCTTCCACTAAACACTTAGCAGCTTCTAAATTGTTAAACAAGAAATGCTTTGCTAGTTTTAGGAATGAACATTCTACATAAGAAATAGTACTGACCGCTGAAGCGTATCCAATGATTGACAAAGGAAAACTTGAAACTGAACTAAAAGTATTCTATTGTAGGTCTGATATCCATGAATACTACAAATTAAATGAGCTACCAAAATTTATCTTAGAAAATAATCTAGATGATGTTCTTAGTGGAATTACGAAACTGATAAAAATTCTCTTGGGAGTTCCCATGACTACATCAGAGGCAGAATGCTGCTTTTCAACATTAAAAAGAATGAAAATTGTTCTAAGAAGCACTAGAATTCAGAAAGACTAAATGCGCTTACATTGCTTTCAATAAAGGAAAACTTCCTCAGTTGTCATCCACAGATCAAGGAGAAAATTATTGATTGTTTCGTGCAAAGTAAAACAAGAAGAATGGATTTTATTTTTAAATGATTGTTTTCTTTCAGACAATTTTAAAACAAAGGTTAAATTTTTTTGGAACAGCACCCCCACTAATTTTAGCCACAAGCCGCCACTGCTCAGTGAAATACATTCATGTCCTAATTTCATTTTACATACCCAAAAATACTGAAATTCCCAAAAATATCCAATCAATGTAATTCATTTTTGCGGACAATGTAACAAAGACAAGCCCAGCATTATCTTGTGATGATGGTGGGAGATAAGGAGTGCACCTTGCACCCTCCAACATATATGGCAACCCTAGAGGAGAAGTTTCTTACGAGTAGTGAGCAAAGTGAAATAGGCTGGCTGTCGGGGAGTATGCACGAAGTTCCGAAATTAGCTTAATTTTTAAAAAAAGCTTAATTTTTATTGTGCACTATGTCTAGTTAATATTTATATTAATGCAGTAAGAACATAATTTGTGATATGGAATGTGAGGATTGGTGGTAAAAAGGTAAACCCATGATGGGAATCACCATAATGGTGACCCGGACTATGTTAAATCAGGCCGTATGAACAGTTCTCAAGCACTTTCGGTTTTGACTACAAGCCATCACTCAAGATCTCCAAACCAGAAGTAATGGATTACACCGGTTTTTATACTCCGGATCAGAGATGAGTAGTAATTATAGATCATTTTATAATTCTGTTTTCTACTTATCATTTAATTTCATTTTCTTTAGTTAAATTTTTTGCTTTTATTTTGGCTTAAAAACCTTGCACAATGTCTGATGTTCATGCCGTCCAAATTCCGGTTTATAACCGATCAGACCCATCTTTATGGTTTATTATGTGTGAAAGTACCTTTGCTCTTGCCACCACCCCCAAACCTATCACAGAATCCATTACTAAATATAATTATGTAGTTTCTCATCTTCCTCCAGATATTGCATCACTAGTACGGGATTTACTTATGAAACCAGACCCTATTGATCCATATGCAAAGCTTCAAAACTGAGTTAATAAATCGTTCAGGAGAATCTTCTCAGCAAGAAATTCGCCAATTATTATCTGGAGAAGAATTAGGTTCTCGAAAACCTTCCGATTTGCTTAGAAATATGAAACGTCGAGCAGAATCTTTAAATGTTCCTGATAACTTAATGTTAGAATTATTCCTTCAACGTTTGCCTTCGACTGTTCAGTCTATTTTGGCAGCGGTTTCCAATTTAACTGTAGATAAAGCTGCAGAAATTGCCGACAGAATTTTAGAAGTAAATCCAACCCCAGGGACTTGTGCCGTTTCTCGCACAGTCGATCAGTCTCTTGAGGATAAATTATTTAAACAAATAGAAAAATTAAACAAACGTATTGATCGCATTTCTCTTTCTCGTGGTCGCTCGCCAAATCGCGGAGATCGCAATAAGGAAAGAAGCAATTCCAAAAGGAGAGATTATTCTGTTTGCTGGTATCATAGACGTTTTGGGAAAAAGTGTAGAGATGACAAATGTACAAAACCTTGTTCATGGCAGGGAAACGAAACCAGCAAAGAATAGAGGCGACTTATTCTTTGCCTCAAGTTTCACGTCGCCTGTTCGTCGTTCGTGACCGTAGAACAAACCTTTCATTCTTGGTCGATACCGGCTCTGACGTGTCCTTACTTCCAGCAAATAATTCTCAAAAACGGAATTCGTCCCAACAAACACTTTTCGCTGCTAATTCTTCTACTATTCATGTTTATGGTCAAAAAACACTTTCTTTGGATTTCAAATTAAGACGACAGTTTACATGGACTTTTCTTATAGCAAATGTTAGTACACCCATTCTTGGAGCAGATTTTCTCCATTTCTCCATTTCTTTGAATTGGTGCCTGATCTCAGAAACAAATGTCTCAAAGATTTAAAAACGCATTTTAAAACCGTCGGTTGCGTGAAAAATGCAAGCATTTATTCAGTAAAAACTGTATTTAGTGATACACCATATCACAAAATTTTAAAAGAATTTCCTTCAGTTACTAGATTACCAGATCCTAACCAACCTGTTAAACACAACACCGTTCATTATATCATAACTAAAGGTCCACCTGTGGTTGCAAAACCTCGTCGGTTAGCTCCAGATCGCTTAAAAATAGCAAAACAAGAATTTCAAACTATGATGCAATTGGGGCATTTGAGACCTTCGAGCAGCAATTATGCATCCCCACTTCACATGGTTCCAAAAAAGGGAAGTCTGGAATGGAGACCTGTAGGAGATTATCGAGCATTGAACGCTCAAACAATAAAAGACAAATACCCTATTCCATGCTTAGCCGATTTTACTGCTGCATTGCACGGTACTAAAATTTTTAGTCATGTCGACCTGATTAAGGCATACCATCAAATACCAATTAACCCAGCCGACATCCACAAAACCGCCATATGCACACCATTCGGTTTATTCGAAAGTACCCGTATGCAATTCGGCTTATGCAATGCATCCGCGACTTTTCAACGTTTTATAGATGAAGTCACGCGGGATTTAGAAGGTGTTTACGCTTTCGTCGATGACTTGCTCATAGCCTCTAAAGATTCTGAGGAACATTGCAGGCATTTGAAAGCTTTATTTTCCAAACTTCAGGAATATGGACTTTGCATAAATG